GCAAGTGCAATATGCTGCTATAGCACTAGCTTCAAAACAAACCATTTCACTGTGCCCTAATTACATGGCAATTTCCTAAGAGACTGATGAATAATATTCAACTCAGTTTGACAACAGACGGATAAGTGTTCAGAGAGGATAATGAAAATTAGAAGCTTTCTTTAAACAGATGACAAAATCCCCATCAATATTACCATTGATATTAAAACAGAGTATGTCACCAATATTCTTGATCAATAACTTTAATATCATCATCAATGTTATGTTACAGAAGAGTTATAATTTAGACTAACACTAGAAAAGTAAATGTTCAACTATTAATTAAAACATTATTTAAATGGATTATAGAAAATGAGACCCATCTTTTAAAATGCTGCCAATGTATCACTCTCTCGTTAAAAAATGTTTAAGATTTGACAAAATTGAAGTTTATGGCTGAGTGTTCCAGAGAGTTTAAGGTGATCATCTGCAAAAGCAAAGGCTGTCACAAAAGATATTTTTAAGTTAAAATACCCAGTTAAAAATCACTTTATAAAGAAAAACCTTACTATAAGGCTCACAAATAAAATTACATTTTTATGGTTTAAATAAATGTCTGAAATATTTTTAACAAATACAAGGTCCTAATAGTTATGTAAAAATGTAAACACCTGGCTATAACTGATAAATAATTTATGCATCAAGATAATTTAGGAGTAAATTGGACATAATTTCAATCATGAGATTACAGCAGAAATATAAAGTCACAGTCTACATTTCTCAAAATACAGAAGTCTTGTTTCCATTCAAGGTGGTTTAAATTAAATCAACATGACACATTTCACATAACACATTGGTTTATTGGGGTAGGGGTGGAAAGGGGGCTTAGGAACAAAAACAAGTGTCTGTAATGGTCTATTGTTGTTGATACACTATGTCGGAAAAAAATGATGGAAAGCCACTTGTCTATACCATAACACCACCAAGTAGTAGAACAGAGATCATCAGATTAACTTCCTATGAAGGGTTCATCATATTTTTGCCAAGTTACTACGTTGATCCAATTTGATAGGAAACAGCTTAACACTGATGTATTTGGTTTAAAGCTCATCTATTATTGATTACTATTAGATAGCCGCCCTTGAACACAGATATGAAATTTATTCACCAATGAGTTAAACTCACATACACGCATGTTGTCACATGCTGGAGATTGATATTAATTACAACTCATTATCATACTCACTGATGCTAGAGCTAATAAGAGAAAAATGCTGAGGCAAGTAGCTGTGATAAGATGCTGGTGGGCTCTAAGCACAAGACTGGTGACACAGTAATCGAAGGTTTGAACCCTCACCAGCTACATACTGCCATGGAGATACATCTTCAGGTAAGACAAATTTTTACACTTAAATGACTCTCTTAATCAAGTGGTTGAAATGAATATGCTAAATTGGACACATGTTAGATATTAAATTTGAAATAGATTTTGTTTATTTGGAGTGTTTGATGTTGTGACAGTGCTGTTTTTATGAATAATTTCCAACTGAAACCACTTTGTATGCCCATTTAAGCCTTAGGTTTAAATATATCATGCTAGTACCTTTGTGTTAAAACTTGACAGCAAAAAATAAAAATAAATAAAAAATAATAAAATAAATAACAGTAATAATAATAATAAAATAAATAAATAAATAAAAAATAAGAAAAATAAATAAGAAAAATAAATATATAAATAAACTGCAAGATCCATTTACTAGCAAAGTAATCCATTTTTTATGCTACATTTATGACTTTGGTTTGCTAAAATAATTTGGTTAAAATAAGAATTTAACCCAAGAAGTCTATGCAATATATTCAATGAAATTTAGCAATATCAACTGTATACGGCATCTAAAAAACATAGGATTTTGTTATACTTATGTTCATAATACAAGATGGCAAATATAAATTTTAATTTCTTTACTTCATAAACAGGAGTCTTTGGTTTGGTGGGTTTGTCTTATGGATGGATTTAAACCATTATCACCAGAGATACAAACTAAGTTAAAAAAAAATAGCCATTTTCCTTTTATTCAACTTAAAGCAAAAACCATCCATGCAAATTGTTCAAACAGAAGCAAATCTGGTACTGTAGCAAAAAGTGACTCATGCCCATATTTGAGTTCTTGGCTGCATGCCATGAAAATGCGAGATAATTATCTGAGTTGCATTTTGAGGTTTATCTGTAATTAATTCCAACATATCTGCTACACTGAACTTCAAATATAAATCTACTACAAATCAATTCATTTATCTATCATGTTTGGATAATTTTACCCATTTAAGTCTATTATCGTTTAAAAACTCTATATAATCTGTTGTTGTTATTATTATTATTTGTATTTCCTGTTGACTGCACGAATAGCAAAAGATTTACTTTTAAGTCAGACCTTGACACATCGAGAAAACTTGACAATTAATCGCCATGTTGATTTAAAACACTTTAAATTTTTTTAATAGGCTGAAGTTAAAATTTAAGGGGCTCAAGTTGTCTCACTTTATGAAATTCTAGTGTGCTTAAAAAGCGTAACTTCACAATATACCATGCTTGTTTAAAAAGACAAGTGACGATCACTCAATGACCCAAATGTCGATATTAAAATTTAAATTGCAAGTGCAACCTAAACAACCCATGAGAAGCCGGTAGCGAGCACGGATGCATCTCAAACAGTTATTTTAGCACTGCTAATCAATTTTTATTATTACTTAACTTCATAAGAGATTGGCTATTTCGTCTGAAATCTAATGTCTTAAGTGCCATCATTTAGATTTCGCCACATATTATGCAGTTAGATGAATTTACTCACCCTTCTTAATGTTTACTCGCTGTCGTTCTCTTTCGCGCGTATGTTAAGTGACCCGGATGTTAAGTGCGCACCTGTGGGAGCATCTATAACAAAGATCAGTGGAACAAACCTCAATGGGTTGGTTGCAAAATAAAAGTCGCAAGTGTTTAATTTTTTATTACCATCAGGATGTATTCCGACCTAATTGAGACTTTTGGTCAATCTCGCACTTCAGTTTAATGTAATGAACATGTGTAATTAAAGCACAATTTTTGTCGGTCGAACGATGGAGTCATTAGATAGATAACGGGGGAATCCTTTATCTACCTTAAATTAACCAACAGAAATGACTATGACTCACCGTCACATCTCTGAAGAATTGTAGAGAGTTCATGCATTGTTGTGTATTTTGCGTATTTGAAGCTTAAGTACACTAACGGATCCAATTTGTCAAGGAGTGTCTACGTTTTAACATCTAAGTGCGCTTAAAAGGCACCGAAAAGATTTTTCCATGGCGCAGTAGGCCTACCTGAAAACCAACTGAGGCACTTTAATTGCAGTTTTACGAACATGAAAGTGAAACCGGTTTAAGATGCTTTTTTTTTTTGGCTCCATTGAGCATTTCTCCTTTGTCAAAACATTTCGACGCAAAAGTTAATCCTTTTGTCTCTGATGATATAGTTTATTGGTCTGTGTGTGGGCAAACAAGTGCGTGTGTCAATATCATATCGTATATACTGTATAATAGAACGATGAAAATTATGTGCGTAATATAGCTGACGCAGTTATTTTTTATCAGTAGCGGATCGAGGGGAAGGGGGGGGAGAGCGGCAAAATAAATAAATAAAACTGACACAGATATTAAAGGTATTTTTGTTGATTGTCCGGCAACATTTCTATGAAAGAAGAAATGAATGCAACGCTGTTTTTTGTATTTGAGCGGAGACTTCAGGATATAATGACATCTTTATGAATGGCAAGAATGATTAAAGGGCAAGACCAATTACGATAAGATTTTTTGTCATAAGCTAAAGAACACCTGAAATGTTATTTTGCGTAGAGAAGGCAAAAATATATAAATAAAGAAAATAACAACACGCGTAGGCCTACTCATTATCTGAGATTATCACTAGCTGATCCAGGAAGATGAGAAGTGGACTTTTAGGGATGAATCCACTATTTTGTTGAGTGGGCGTGCAAAGATGGACCCTGATGTTTTTTTTTTTTTTTTTTTTTTTTTGAGATTATTATATACCGGTATCATGTAAATTTTTACTCTCTGCCAGGGGCCAGATTGGAGAGCACGTCTTTTTTGAGGAAAATAATTATATAATTAATAGGAGAGTGGGATACTGGTGAATTCCCAGAAAAATATCTGTGGAAATCTTTCCCTCTACCAGGGCCACAGAATAATTTTTCACTAAATATTGACGGATAGGCCTATGTCCCTGTCCAGTTCATGACAATTTTTTCTGCTCCTACAGAAGAGGATCTGATCGTTTCATAAATTATTCAGAGACATGTCTGTGTTTTATTTTTAAATCAATCTGTGCCCCTCCAGGTAGAGGGTGTGTATATTTAGTGAAAAAATTATGGCCCTGGTAGAGGGTATGATTATATGGGCGCTGCGTCAATATCTTCGTTGCTGAAAAGTCTACATGTAGGGCCTATTTGCCTGGATGTTCTCGGGCCTTAATATATGTAGTATGGAATAAGAAACTTACGGTACCTTTTTGCAAGCTCAAAGTACGTGTGCTATTAATTTTCATTAACACCATGAAACTTATGCTCCAAGAGCTTTTGGTAAGCCTTTATTTCGTTCCATTTATGGGATGTGGAAGTTATTCAACGACGTTAATGGAGGGGGGGTGGGTGGAGAGAAAAGCTACGAAAAGCTACCCTCTGCCAAATATTCGCGATCAAAAGTGAAATCATCACATTCGAAAGTTCTAATGATATTACTAGGAATTAAGACGAAGAGCAAGTTTTATCCGTTTCATGGTTCCTAGTTTGAAAGAATACCCCCTTCTTCACATTCAGCTAGTCATGCTTTATAACTTTATTTCAGGACACAGTTACGCCCCTTGAACCCATAATATGATGTTCGTCATTTAAAACCAATGACATGGTGTTCAATAGAATATCCGGGTGATGATAAACGAAAATAGTGGTGTGCGGTGCTATCTTTGTTCCGCGAAGCGGCAACACCGATCTCGATTGTACCTGAATGAACTGTTCCGCCATATAGGGGGATAAGGATCGATATGGTATCAAAACATGCAAACATCTAAACGTGCCAGAGGAATTTTATCTTTATTAATCAAAAACCACAATTTCATAATGTTAAATTGATTTTTAGGAAATATAAGATGACTGGCTGCAAAGAGTCTTTCATAGACACTTGAGAAAATGAGCTGTCTCCCCTCCACAGTTTAGCACCTTGACCCGCAGTAATGGCGGCCGCTAGCGACAAGTACTCTGTGCTACCTACTTATGTGCAGCTTGTCACCGATGTATATGCGGCAACAAAGAAAATCAGAGACAGTGGGGAAACGTTCCAATTTATATATGGCCTTCAGGGTTTTTGGAATGTTTGACCAAGGGCGCCTACATCAAGACCATCGACGTTGCCCTCGTGATAGCTCTTGCTGTATTTTGGACTTTGCTGCGGTATCTCTGTGCTGGGATCGTTTTCATTGTGAGTAATGCAGTAGCCGATCAACCGATACGATCTTCATTAATTATTTACTGTCCCATGAGGCAGGAACATCACTATCTGAAAGAAAACAACGTTATACACGTTATTGTTCATGAAAAAAATTTCTGTTTACATTTACAACTTCAGTTTGTCGTTCGCTCGGGGGAGGGGGGGCAATCTCATTTATCTATCATTAGTTTCCAAGTTTTAACTATGGCTGCATCCAAAAACAGATGATCCTGGGAATAACTAGTCCCATGTTCAAATATGGCCGACCCTACTTGAAAACAATGGCAATTAATCCCCTTATGATCTCTCTGCCTACCTTTAGCTATCCCCTACAGGGGCCTAGCAATTAAAGTTAAATTAGAATGGCTCCAAGATTTAATTGCTAGGCCCATATTTAAACTGCAGACTAGTTAGTCAGTGGATCATCAGTTGTGTATGTGGCCTATTGCACATGATATGAACACCAAGAATTAATAACATGCAATCCTATGGAGAATATTGAGTTGGTATTCTGCCAGTTTTTCATGGCACAGTCAACCTCATGCAACTCATTCAATTACCAAAGAAAGAATCCTTTATGTAATATACCACAACATATCTGCTGAATCAAGACTGGGTTCCCATACTTAGATCAATCCATCTGGATCGACCTAACTCCCTGGGGGTTCATGCTCAATTGCTGTCAACTCAAGAAGCTTAAATATCTGTCACGCCTACCAAATCAACTAGGGGTAAAGATAATTACCCCTAAGTTTGATAGCAATTTAGTGAGACTCCCCAGGGAGATAGATCCATCCAAATATCTGTGGGAATGGTCCCTTATTTTAATGACATTTGAAAGGATGAATTAATACATAGTCAAAAGCACTTGTTTTTTCCCCACTGCCCTGAGTATCTCAGTAAAGTCCCATTACACTGGACAGCGTCCATTCTGCTTCCCGTAGGACGGCCCCATTTGAGAGTAAATATAAAATACTTTACACGCCTACGACTGGCCGATCATTGAGCATTCATTCTGCAACCAAAGGGATGCTTGTGCCTCCTTTCTACGACCACAGCGATGCCAGTTTCATGGTCGCACATAGGATGCAGAAAGGATGCCATCCAGTGTAAAGGGGGTTTAAACAATCAAAATGAGATGTAAACTAAAATTTTGGACTGTAGTTCATGACCCCTATGATAAAACAAACTTATTAGAAGTGATGAAAAACTATAATTAAAGATTTGTCACTGACTATATAACAGAAACAATTGCTATGCTGCAGGATTCTGGGACAATCCCCCTGATCACCCCCACCCCACAGACACTTTCCTCCGAGACAATTCTTTAATAAATTGATAATTTTTCTCCATTAAAAAGATTGAGTCATAAGACTTGCCCTCCAAGAAATCAATGCCTTCAAGAAATCAACAATAACCGGAAGTACGTTTTTTTTTCACGGTTTTTCCCTGCATGCTTTTTGCAAAAAATCTGGGTTGTCAAGTAAAATAAAGTGTCTGATACAAAGTAAAAATGTGGCATTTACATGCTTGATTACAATGTCTTCGATGCGTGAAGTACACTTTGTTCACACTGAGAGTTCAAGGTTAGAAATACATGATTTAAGCTCTCTTATTACGCAGTTTAAGTTTTGATTATTGAATTTTGTATAATATCTACATGGTTATTTTCTCAATATATGCATAAGCTAGGAGGTCTTTCTCATATGAAAATCTTTGGACAGCTTCCCAAATACAATTGAGTGATGTTATGATGAACGGTTTTCCTCCAGATCGTGAAGGCCTAAGCATCATGGTGTGCTCAAAATTTTAAGCGTTCTACTTCAAAATCTACGCAACAGCTAGAATTATATTTGGTACACCAATTCTTTGATATTGCACTTAGGCCACACTTTTTTATTTTTATGGATGACATCCTGCGCGCGCACCGATTTTCGTCCGTTCTCCCCCAAAAAAAAAANCAAGCTCCATACTGTCATTGTCGACTGGTAATATGCAGCATATATATTCATGACTTTTTACCTTTCTACGAAGTAGGCCCTATTCACAATGCTTTAATATTTAGAGCATGGATAAAGACATGTTGTTAGTTTGATACGTGTTTCTGTGGTAAATTAGTGTTTCCAGCTGTGTACTGAAAACATAACTTTTCTTAAGCAGTATTTTTTTTTTTTTGGACTGTTTTTTTTTTTTTCGCCCGCTCGCACTGACTTTGGGGTCCCCAGAGGATGTCATCCATAAAAATAAAAAAGTGTGGCCTTATGTGCAAAATTTGAGAGCTTGTGATCTGATAGTTTATTAACATTTAACGAAAGGGGGTAAATTTCTCAGTTAAGATTACTTAATATTCACAGATGTATCAACAGCTTGGTTGATATGAAATGTACCCATTCAGAATATCCATGGCATATGTACGTACAACTAGGCCGAAATCCATGTTATAACAGTAAAATCATAAAACAACTATTTATGTCACATGTACGTGCTAACCAGTGTATGCATATCTGAAACTGTTACTGTCAGAATTCAAATGTGATATCAGGACTTTAGGGAGTACTAAAAATTATGAGGCTTTTTATTTAGATTTTTTTCAGAGAGATGAAAACTCCTAGCACACTTGGTGTTTATTGGGTTGTCAGAATGGAAGTTAAAGCACTGCAGGCAACTGATTGTGATCTCTCTAAAATGTGTTTTTGTCAAACTAAACAGGGGCTGATATGGAACCCTGCAGATTTGTTTTGAAGGAGGGCATATTTACCTTGTTTGGAATTTCTCACAGTTTATTGATGCCACTGGTACCAATGAAGTAGCCAGATTTCCCCAGGTTTTCCTCTCCACTTTTCAACCTATGGCTACTGGCCTGTGCAATGTCTAGACAAACCCTGTATTTTAACTTTCAGGCATTGGCAACTGTAAAATATACATAGAAAATATCATGTTATTGTTAATCTTGATTGGAAGAGATCAAACGAAGGAGTTACACCCCATATTCAGACAAGCATTTAAAAAAAAATGTATAGATTTTTAAGCAACTGCTCTATGTTATGATAATGCCCCCATAGTCATATTTTAGTGTCTAAATATCCAGCAAAACTACTTATCTCTCCCAGTTGGGCCTTACAAAGGATAAAGGCCCTCAAATGGGAGAGCCTGATGTAGTTATTTTCTTTAGAAATGCCAGGAAGACATGATAGTCTAAATGAGCTGTGACTCATTTAAACTTAATTATATATAATTAGAAATAGTACAAAAATGTCAAATTCAAAAGCAGGGATGGGCAGAGCAATAAAGTAATTTTTTTTTTAGAAACATTTATTTGGCACAAAAGTCATCCTAGGCTACCTTATATGGAATTTTGACATTTGCTGTCCCTTGTGGAGTTAATTTTAAAAAGAGGGCAGGAAATTTTTCAAAAGACATAGCAAAGAACAAAAGAAACTGATTCATACACGTATGATAACGAGACTAAATTGACAAGACTAAATGAAAATGAAATATACCACTTGCCCTTTTTTTGTTGTGTAGGTGCAATATTTTCAACTTACCCCCCCCCCCCCCCACACACACACACAAAAGAGAGAAACAAGCATTTTTCCTACTCCTCATCTTCTGTTTAATATTTGCAGAATAAAGCAAGCTCAAATGTGTTTCATCGTCTCCCCCCCCCCCTTTAGCAAAACCTCAGATCAGCAGCAACTTGAAGAGACTGTTTACTATTGACAATTGCACGGATAATTTATTATTAATTAACTCTTAACATAGTAACTGTTGAATTTTTGTGTCAAAGTCTTCGTCTGCACTCTCTGAGCATTTTTCTTATAGCAGAATGAGGTTATATTAAAAGAAGTGGGCACAAAATACGCACTATATT